TCAAGGACTGTGTCTCCTCTTATGAACTGCTCGAGTTCGTCAAGAGAAGCCTTTCTCTTGGTCTCATTATGCTCACAATGATGAGGCCCTTCTCTGTGGCTGCTCCTTTAGACTGTGGAACTCCCTCCCACTGGAGGCCAGCCTGGCCCCATCTTTGCCATCTTTCTGTGAACAGGCAAAGATCTTTCTCTTCGAGCAAGCTTTCCTTCAATGACTGGCTGCCTGAGTGGGGTTATTAAACGGATTGTTGTGCCTTACTGCTTTGAATGTGGTTTTTTCGCTGTTTTTGTTTACCATCTTTTAAGTGTGGTATTTGAACCTTTTTAGTATTTGTACACTTACTGTTTTTAGCGTTAAACACGGCCCTCCCAAGAAATTTCCATTTAGTATTTGTACACTTACTGTTTTTAGTGTTAAACATGGCCCTCCCAAGAAATTCCAGACTTGTGTGGCTGCTAATTTTCTCCTATAAAAGTAGAGGAAGGAGGACCTTAAAAAAGAGAGAGAAATCTCCTATAAAAGTAGAGGAAGGAGGACCTGAAAAAAAAAAAGAGAGAAAAAGACATAAATAAGAAGTGGAAGGAAGGCCAGGCCACAAAGAAAGAACACAGAGCGGTACCAAAGAATCGCAAGGATAGCGTTAAGAAGATAAAAACTGAGAAGGAACAACAAGAACGACATTGTTCAGGGGTGTGTGTAGCAAAGTGGAAGGAAGGCCAGGCCACAAAGAAAGAGTACAGAGCGGTACCAAAGAATCGCAAGGATGGCGTTAAGAAGATAAAAACTGAGAAGGACTGACAAAAACGACATTGTTCAGGGGTGTGTGTAGCTGAAGACAGAGAAAAGGAATAGTCAGTCAGCTCTTCAGTGTGGATGGAAAAAGGGTAGCAGGTGATAAAGGAACGGCAGAAGAAGGCCAGGCCACAAAGAAAGAGTACAGAGCGGTACCAAAGAATCGCAAGGATGGCGTTAAGAAGATAAAAACTGAGAAGGACTGACAAAAACGACATTGTTCAGGGGTGTGTGTAGCTGAAGACAGAGAAAAGGAATAGTCAGTCAGCTCTTCAGTGTGGATGGAAAAAGGGTAGCAGGTGATAAAGGAACGGCAGAAGGCGTTCCATTCTTACTTTAGCTCGTTATTTTCTCAAAATACAGTCTATGATCCTCCAGGCAAATGTGAAGGTTACATTTCTGGTTTTCTTGTGGAAAAATGTGAAACATTGAGAAGATCTAGAAAAAGGGCCCTAAAGATTCTTCACTCCCCTTTTTTAGGAATGAGTGAAATGCTTTTTAAAACAAGGTTATTAAAATGCCAGAAACTGTATCCTGCGGATGGCTGTTTACAGTATTCTCTAGCTGTCAAGAATACTAACACGCTAGATAAAGTTTTACCCCCTAGCCAACTTTGCCATCTTTATGAGCGGGAAATACATGATAGAGGAAAGGTTTTGCTGCTTTGTGGATGTTAATGCATCAGGCGTGACCGTGTACAGTACACACCTCTCTTTAGTATACTGTTTACTCATAAGTTTGCACAGACTATATATTTCAGTATACATGCAATTTTTTTAATATTTCAGAATTCCATAAATATGCCCAATAGTCCCATTTCATATGCTCCATACGTTTGATCGAAGCACTTTGTGTTGCTCAAGCAGTAAAACATTTTTAGATCTGAGATGAACATAGAACTGTATATATTTGGGTCATCTCCCCCCCAAAACATCATTTTCCCCCACCAAAAAAGAAGAAAAGAGGGGGATCCATTTTTCTCCCACAGTGTCAACATTTCAAGAAACGTTGAATCTTTAGTTAAAACTGACTGGGGGATTTTGGTACCCTGTTTCCTCGAAAATAAGACAGGGCCTTACATTAATTTTTGTTCCAAAAAAACACATTAGGGCTTATTTTCAGGAAATGTTTCATTTTATTTTTTTTCATGTACAACAATCTACGTTTATTCAAACACAGTCAATGTCCTCTTCTTCTGGTTGCTGCACAAGGGTGGAGGGCAGGGTTTCACTTCACTGGGGCTTATTTTTGGGGTAGGGCTTATATTACGAGCATCCTGCAAAATCATACTAGGGCTTATTTTCAGGTTAGGCCTTATTTTAAGGGGGGGGAAAGGGTAGTTGTAGTCCAGCAAGTAATAGTTAGAAGCACTCCATCTAGTTTGGTGATCTCTCCTTAGGCTTGTACTTTTTCACTTCCAAAAAGACCGTTTCACCAGCCTTCCTCTCTTTTCCCCTCACGAAAACCACCACCATCACAGGAGGGACTAGAGCAAAGCCAAAAGAAAGAACGCAAGCCACCTGAAGGATCATGGGATCGGCTGGAGAGGTCCAGGGGACGAGATAGCTGCTTAGATTCTTTGCTTGTAGCTGCTCTCTGTGTGAACACTGTACATCCTGTTTTCCTTGTGCATTCTTCTGCAGCCCATATGGGAATACCCTTAATAGACCGAGCCAGAATGAAAACGGAGCTGCGTTTGTTTTGTAAGAGCAAAAACACACACACACACATCAAAACCCAGAGGAACAGCCGTCTGGACCAACTTGGAAGCAGTTCAAAGACAGCTAAGAAGGAAGAGGAGAGGAGGGACAGCCAGCCTCCCTTCCCATCAAGGAAGTCACTACAGTTTGCAGGCGTTTCGTTTAGAAATGATTAGGGGCCGAGGGGGCTCATAAACAGCTCTAGTGATTCAGGCTGGAAACAAGAAAAAAAGATGACTAAGTAGATGGAGAGATCATGCGGATCATTTACGCTACCAACTCATTCTGCCCTTAATCAATATTGTCACATTATCAGTTTGGAACTGTTATCCACTGTGGGTTCATATTTCTTGAATTTTGTTCATAGTTCCTATAACTTAGGGATGTGGTGGCGCTGCACTTTAAACCGCAGAAGCCTCTGTGCTGCAAGGTCAGAAGACCAGCAGTCGTGAGATCGAATCCACACGACGGAGTGAGCCCCCGTCACTTGTCCCAGCTCCCGCCAACCTAGCAGTTAGAAAGCATGCAAAATACAAAAATGCGAGTAGATAAATAGGTACCACCTTGGTGGGAAGGTAAACGGCATTCTGTGTCTAGTCACGCTGGCCACGTGATCACGGAGGATTGTCTGTGGACAAACGCTAGCTCTATGGGTTGGAAATGGGGATGAGCACTGCCGCCTAGAGTCGGACACAACTGGACAAAATTGTCAAGGGGGACCTTTACCTTTTTCCTATAACTTATGTCCAAAAGCTTGCAACCTTTCTTCTTTCTCTTACCACACTGTTTTAAGCTACGTATGTATTCCCCTTTATAGAGAAGACTCCTCTGGTGGGCCAATTTTGAAGGGGTTCCTCCATTTGAAAGACATCCTAATCTAGGTCTAATTTACAGAGTAAGAATCTGAAGGGAGACCAGGAGCCTTGACGTTCAACCCAGGTCATGAGTTCAGAATCCTCTACCCTGTCATTCAATGTATTGTACTGTAGTAGCTATACAACAGGGTGTTGTTGTTATGTGCTGTCAAATGACCTCCAGCTTAGGGTGAATGAGCAACCCCCAAAATGTACTATTAATAATAACAGTCCTTTTCAGCTCTTGCAAACTCATGGCAGTGGTTTCCCATATTGAGTCGATGTATCTCAAATTTGCTCTTCCTCTTTTCCTGCTGCCTTCTGCTTTCCTAGCATTATTTTGTACCTTCGATCCACTGTGATGAGAAATTATCAGTACGATTCTATTATATTTTAGGCCTGATTCCTATTACTGATTGGAAGTGGGGTGCACCCCTTGAGTCAATGGGTTGGCCATTCGGAAGTTGATTCCATGGGTCCAGTTGAGACTGAGCACTAGATTTGACCCATAGTCATTATTTCCATACTATTGATGGCCAGAAAGATAACTAAGTGGGTGGCTGACCAATCCACCAAGCCAGAACTCTCCCTAGAAGCAGACAAAAATGAAAGCGGTTGTATTTCAGGCACATCAAAAAGACAAAATGCACTGGGAAAGAAAAGAATGCTGGGAAAAGTTGAAGGCAGTGGGGGGGGGGAAGGAAAACCAAATATAAAATGGATCAACTCCCTAAAACAAGCCATGCCTCTGAGTTTACAACAGCTGAGTAGAAGTGTTAATGACAAGACATTCTGGATGTCAGTCATTCACAGGATCATCATAAATCAAAAGCAACTTGCCGATTATTACCGATTTATCACCTACATAGATAAATTAGCATATAGAAATCAAATTCAAATCTTTGTCCTTTGCTGGCAACATGCAAGCGGTCCTCTAGAGCAGTGGTTCTAACCTTTGTTACTCGGATGGTTTTGAACTGCAACTCCCAGAAACCCCAGCCAGCACAGTTGGTGGTGAAGGCTTCTGGGAGTTGCAGTCCAAAACTCCTGAGTAACCCAAGGTTAAGAACCAGGGCTTTAGAGCACAGACTTCAGCAATCAACCTTGCCAAGATTGGGTCTCCAAATGTTCTTGGACTGCAACTCCCAGAAATCCTAGTCGGGCGCAGGTGGTGGTGAAGGCTCCTGGGAGTTGTAGTCCAAGAACATCTGGAGGCCCAAGGTTGGGGACCACTGCTCTAACACCATGTCATGCCAGCAAAGAGCCTGAAAGAACAGCGTAGCTGTCATGTCCTTCTTAGATCTTCCCCTTCTTGATTGGTTGACTTTGGGCAGCTTCGTTACTCTTTACATCAATGGTTCGGCCCCCCAGAAGTTCTTGGACTACAATTCCCAGAAATCCTAGGCAGCACAGCTGGTTGTGAATGCTTCCGGGAGTTGCAGAAGGACTAGGCAGCACAGCTGGTTGTGAATGCTTCTGGAAGTTGTAGAAGGACAAGAACATGTGGGGTCCTAAGATTGGGAACCACTGCTTTAGACCAACCACGGTCGTGATGGAACCCATCGCTCAATGACAGAACATTCATTTTGTGGGTTTTGCATGCACTGCAAATATCACAGCTATTCGTAATCTCTCTCTTTCTTCTTCCCTACAGAGACGAATGGATGCATTTTGCCAAAACAGAAATCTCCAGCTGATTCCTTCACACCTTGACCCGAAGGTACATAAAATTTACCTCTCTGAGAATAAGCTTCGAAACATCACAGAAAGCCCCCTGAAGTTCTACACCTCCCTCCAACACTTGGACTTGAGTTCTAACCATATAGGTTTCATGGAGCCTGGGATCTTCTCCAACATGAGGAGCTTGGAAGAGCTTAATCTAGCCAACAACCAACTCTATCGGGTGGCTCAGAGCAACCTGTGGATCGGATCGTTACCCCGCGTCAGAACGCTCAACTTGTCTCTCAACAGGCTGTACAGCGGAATGGCAGAGCATCTCCTACATGACGCACCGTTCCTTCAGTATCTTTCTCTGGCAGAGAACAGTATTATTGAAATATCTCGAAGGATGTTCCAGGGCTCCGCAGGTTTGATTGAGGTGAATTTGCAGAACAACATGATCATGGAGATAGAAGAAGGAGCCTTTGAGAGCCTCCGGGGTCTTTCCAAGCTCAACCTCTCCATGAACTCGCTCACCTGCGTGGCGGGCTTTAACCTCAAGCAGCTGCAAGTTCTTGACCTCAGCCGGAACAGCATCGAGAGCTTCCATTCCATTGATTCTGAGGAACAATTCAACTTGACCTGGTTGGATCTGAGTGAGAACAAGCTCCTTCGGTTCCCAGTTCTTCCTCGAGGGAACAAGCTGGCCTATCTGAACCTAAGCAAAAATATAATGCAGTTTGTTATGGTGCAGTCCCCTGGAAGTGACGTGGAATACGCCCGGGAGTACGAGCCTCTTTTCCTTTCGGAACAGGGTCAAAATCGCAACGCAAGTCCTCCACACTTGCCTGAGCTGTTGCACTTGGACTTGAGTTATAACGAGATCGATTCCCTCCCAACGGAGTTCTTTGCTTCCATGGTGGCCCTTCAGTTTCTGAACCTCAGCAAAAATTGCCTGAAGGCTTTTGTGGCCAGTTCTGAGCTGGTCTCCCTGGCCATCCTGGACCTCAGCTCTAACTCTTTACAGAGTTTGGAACTAGGAATGGACAACCTGGGCAATTTGCAGATGCTGTATCTTCAAGACAACAGCCTCCAGCGCCTGGCCTCAGATACCTTCGCCAGGCTGCCACGCCTTCAGCTGCTCAACCTCCGGAGTAACAGCCTACGTCTTTGTGGATGGTTTTCAGGGTTAGCCAGACAAAGACTTGCGGCTGATGAAGAAGGATGCGTCTCCTTTGTTGACCTCCCTGAACTTCAGCGTCTGTACCTGTCGGACAACCGCTTGAGAAGACTTCCAGAGCATGGCTTCTACAGAACGCAGCTTGTGGAGCTGGATCTGTCCATGAACTGGGGGCTTCACGTACAGGCAAAGTCCTTGTCCAGCTTAGAACTGTCTCTTGAAAATTTGGATTTGCATGGCAATGGCATGACGACTCTCAATGTCAACTTTTCCCTTTTCTCTCGTCTCCGACATCTCAATCTGTCGGACAACAGGCTCAGCTGGCTGCCTCCTTGGTCGGAAGACTGCTGTGTCTTGGAAGTTCTGGATCTGCAGAACAATAGCTTCAGCAGTCTGAAAAACAGCAAGATCCTGACGTTGGAAAAAAATCTACGGAACTTGTACCTGGCCGGAAACCCATTGAGTTGCTGCGGAAATATTTGGCTCTCCCACATGATCCACAAAGCGACCGTGGAAATCCCCAACTTAGATCTCGTCACGTGCCAGCATGCCAAGAGCTTCGGCTATCAAGAGGAAGAGATGAACGTCGTCAACATCAGGCCGGAAGACTGTGAAAAAGAGGATCTCAAGAAAATCAGTGTGCTGATTTTGATCGCCGCGCTCCTGGTGCTCTCCCTGGTTGCGATCGGAGTGGGTCTCTTTTGTTGCCACCGCAGACAGGTGTTTGGACGTCACTACAAGGCATAGACGCCACATGTGGCCGCCACGCATGTCACGGGCACACCGACACCGCTCAGCAGCCTTCCAACAGAATGACGCCTGGCGGAATGTACGAATGGATGCCACGCAACAGGATTCAAGGCAAAACAACCGTTGTTCTGTGGGTGTTGGATTCATGATGACTTATTCACACATGGTCATCTTTTGAGAACCATACTTGTCAGAAAAGGAGGGCACATTTGTTCTTCAAAGATCCTCAGCTTATGAAGACAAAGCCCGTAGGATCTATTCCGGTGTTCCCCAGACCTTGGGCACTGTGGTTTGCACTGAAGTTAAACCGAAGGTACATTATTTCCTCTTACACTAAAAAAAGGAAAGAAAATAGCACCACAGTTTCTACTTCAGTCGTCTCCCTCATCACTTATGAGGGATCCTCTGAAATTGCTATAGGATGCCCTAATTAATGTGCATCCTGGCTTCCAAATTTCTCCTTTGCCAGGTCAGGCAGACTAGGTTGGGGTCTTCTTGATGAGAAGGAATTCTCGTCAATCTTTCATAGGAGTGATGCAGAATGCATACAGTACTTTACTTCCCTAATCTCAATTACTCCTTGCCTTGAGGTTATGTCACTTCCCATATTGCTTGTGAGAAGGAATCAAACCTGCATAGGTTTTCCACACTTAAGGCCCTGCTCCTTTTCTCGTGTGTTAAGGACTCTTTTGTTTTTTGTTTGCTTGCCCATTTTTTTGAACCCCTAGAACATTGCTTCCTGACCTGGGCTCCCCAGATCTTCTCAGACAGAAACTGCCAGAAGCCCTCACCACTAGCTGTGCTGGCCAGGGTTTCAGGGACTCTTACACCAAGAAATCTGGGACCCAAGCTTGGGAACCCTCATCCTACAGGATCCTGGGCCAGAAAATTGCATGTCCCAGACACCACAAAGTCACCTACACCTGAGCTAAGTTAGCAATACACCTGATTTAGGAGGTGAAATCTTGCTGGTGCATTCAATCACACTGGCTTAACTTGACAAAGCATAATCCAGTTCCACACACCTCAAATACATAGGTATGTCTTTCAGGATAGTATCTAGTTGTTTAGTTCCAGTTTAGTGATCACCAGACCAATCCTGTAGGCCAGAAGTATGCTGTATCATTAGTTGTTCAGAAGGGAAGAGACCAACCATCTCCCTTCGTCATCCCCTTCTCCTGCCAGCAGTTGTTAAGTCATGGCATCCAAAATGGGTCTAACACCCCAGGCACATGACCAACGCCGATGCCAGTGTGATGCTGGCACATTTTGAAGTGCAGGCCTTCATCAGAACAATCCCACAGCTGTACTCACAAGGAGCATCCAAAAACGCATCTATTTGCATTGAGCCACATCAACAAACCAGCTCTACACTGGTTTATTCCCACCAGGAGCGGGCCTACTGGAAAACTATTGTAGACTAAGCCGCTTTAAGTGCATTTTGACAGGGATAACTCTATAGACTGCTGGTGAAATCTATGGCTTCCCCCCTAGCTGCTTTGAGTACAGTATTGCTAATTTAGCTCAGAGGCAACTGGTAAGCTTCGAGGTGGTCATGGCAGAGGACATTGTTCTGTCTGTTAACCAAACAGTCACTGGTTCCACCATATCACTACAAATACAACTTCAAATAAGCACAATGCAGAAAGCAAAGTATACAGTTTTTCTTGCCATGGAGAGAAGGGCCTGTGTCCGAAAAACATAGAAACAGAGATCATGAATTCCAGGTAATCAAGGGAAAGCCTTTGAATCCTAAGCCTGAATCTGCCAAGCCTCAAATCAGGATTTTCCTGGTCCATACGCAGACCTTTTAAGAAGACGTAGGTTGGACCATAAAGAAATGAGGGGCAGAACAATCAGAGCAGGCGCCAATCCCGAAGCTCCACATGCCTGCCTATAAACTAGACGTTCCCAACCATGGGTCACCAGGTATTCTTGGACTACAACTCCCAGAAGCTTTCACCCCTAGCTGTGCTTTCCATGATTTCTGGGAGATGTAGTCCAAGAACATCTGGAGATGAACGATTCTGCTATGAACGATTCCAGGCCCAGTCTGGGTGGTTGCCATGGCAACTACCACATTGAGGCCTTGTTTCTGTGGCTTTCTAGTATTTCAGTGGGTTTGATAATAAGCTCCTTGTGCTATCATCCAGCCCCACTTCTTGGTGCTTCCTCATCTGCCATGTTTAGTCTCCAGACCTTTTTGGACTACAACATCCAGAATCCTCCAAACACTGTCTCAGCTTCCTTTGGACAAGCCACTACAGCTGGGAGGCTGGCCTGTGGTCTCACCCAAACCAGCCTTCAGATGTATCCTTGTTTTGGTGGGTCTAGTCTGGTGTCATGTGGGATTTGTTCTCACCGAGCAACAACAACTTGGCCATGGTCTCTACCTTCTCAGGACTCAACCTTCTTCTCCATAATCTGTGAAGATGGCCACCTCCCACTCACTACTAATACCTCAAAAGCCTTGTGAACTACATTGACTCAGTGCCTTGATGGAAATTTTTTGCACATTCCTGGTGATCTCTCCAAATAAGGATGGAAAGGTGTTTTTTTTTTTAAAAGGGGTTGATTTAGTGCTACTACTTTGAAGCAATTAAATGGCAAACTCGTCTGATTCCTATTTGTCTATCCGAGTTTTATGCTGAGGAGACATGATGTCAACATTTGACATGAAGCGTAAATGGTCTTGAGAGCTTCTTTATCTTTGCAAAGAGACAGGCTGGGATGTACACAAAACAGCTGTGTGATTTTGTTTGTTTGTTTGCTTACGGTTTCACCAAAGCACAGCGAATGCGCTGAGGGAACCGGACAAGTGTTCAGAAGAATGGGGTGTAGACAAGCTTTCAGGTTCAAAAAACACTCAGTGTGGGATCATTGGGGGAAATTGATCACAATCTGGACGGCTTGTGGACCTTTTTGGTTCAGCTGTAGGGCATCTAGTTTGAGGGCTGGAACACTTCCCTGATGGACAGAAGGGTCACGTTAAGGAAGATCGCTTCCAGCCAAGCGTAACTCTCTGGTCCAATTAGACATGTATCACATATAGACCCTAGTAGGGCTTTTAAGGTAGTGCAAATACACATCCTTCATCCCCTGATGGACAGAAGGGTCACGTTAAGGAAGATCGCTTCCAGCCAAGCGTAACTCTCTGGTCCAATTAGACATGTGTCACATATAGACCCTAATAGGGCTTTTAAGGTACATGCACACATGTACCTTAAAAGTAGTGCAAATACACATCCTTAAGATTCATTCCACGGTGGTGACATTCATGTTCAGTTCAGGAGACAGGTAATAGACAAAGGGGCATTGGTTCGTTGACCCAGGACTGGGACTATCCAGCTCTTAATTAGCAAATCCTAGCCAGAGTGATGAAAGGGGTGTAGTGGTGCTGTGGGTTAAACCGCAGAAGCATCTGTGCTGCAAGGTCGGAGGACCTGCAGTCACAAGATCGAATCCAGGCGACAGAGGGAGCTCCATCGCTTGTCCCAGCTCCTGGCAACCTAGCCGTTTGAAAGTATGTAAAAATGCGAGTCGATAAATAGGGACCACCACGGTGGGAAGGGCACGGCGTTCCGTGTCTCGTCACGCCGGTCACGTGACCACAGAAACTGTCTTCGGACAAACGCTGGCTCTACGGCTTGGAGACGGGGATGAGCACCGTGCCCTAGAGTCGGACACGACTGGACTAAATTTCAAAGGGAACCTTTACCTTTATCTAGTCAGAGTGATAAGCTAAGGGGATTTAACGATCACACAAATGTCGAGATTTGCTTATTAGACAGAGCTGTGTCAAGAGAGACAAAATATGTCTGTCTATGGGGGGGAATATTGCCAAGACAATGAGGAAGGAAATGGCCTGAAGATTTGGGGAGGGGGAGGTCCCCTCATACGATGTCCCAAAAAGCCATTCCTTAGTGGCAAAACCCCCCGAAGACTAAGACAATGGCCAAGAAGAAAGTAACTAGTAAGCATTCCTTGTTTCCTGAAAAACGATGGACGATCTCATGACACCAAAAAGTAATTATGCTACAGATTATGCTGTTACTTGCAATGCATGACTCTCAAGATCTTGGTTTAGTAAACGGGTGTAAAAATAAGAGAATTTGAGCTGATTTCAATTCAGCGTTAAGTCCTTGGAATGAACTTTCGCTGCCGTCTGCGGGTCAAACCATTGGCAATTCCAATTTTTTTTACCTTCCTTCAAGTTTTCTGTTTGCAGAGAGCTGTTGTAAAAACCCAAGGATGCCAGTACCCAAATCTGTGCTATGTATTTGTGCAAACTGGACACAAATCTCTACCCACCCCGAAACTGCTCAGGGCTTCTGGAGCAGATACAGAGAAGGTACAGGTACAGTATTGGATTGGAGCAGATGCAAGGATATACAGATGGCAGCAGGGAAAGAACATCTTTCCCCTTTCTTATTCTACTGACAAAGAAGCTAGTTCATCAATTGAAGGTGTGAATTGTATAAATTACAACAGCAGTCTTTCTGAACAGCAAGCAACTTCCTCTGGCAGCGCAGATGGTATTCTGCAAATATTTATGGACTATGCCATTCTAAATAGGTTAGTCTTTAAGGCAGCACAGGATTCTTCACTGTCAAGGAAGATTTGTGGCTGCTTGTAGCTCAGTGATTTAGGGATCTAGTGGTTAGAAGTTTGATTCCCCAGTGAACCTCCAGGAAGAAAAGCCAGCCTGTGTGGCCTTGAGCCATACGCACACAGAAGGTAGGGAACGGTAAACTACATTTATGATTGCCCCGCATTACGACGAACCTGCTTTACGACAATCTTTTTGTGATCGCAATTGCGATTGCAAAACGATGGTCTAAATGGGGGAATTTCACTTTGCGAAAATCGGTTCCCTGCTTCGGGAACTGATTCTTCACAAAACGATGATTTTTAAACAGCTGATCGGTGGTTTCAAAACGGCCACCGGGTAACTAAAAGGGCTCCCCGCTGTGTTTAAGGACGGATTCCTCACTATACAGGCAGCGAAAATGGCCGCCGTATGGAGGATCTTCACTGGACAGTGAGTTTTAAGCCCATTGGAACGCATTGAAAGGTTTTCAATGCGTTTCAATGGGCTTTTATTTTCGCTTTACGATGTTTTCGCTTAACGGCGATTTTCCTGGAATGGATTATCGCCATTAAGTGAGGCACTACTGTACTTCTGATTGTTCTCTATCTGGAAAACCCTGAAAAGGTTGCCATAAATCAGAGTTGACTTGATTTGTGGCATATGACTATAGCTGGCTGGACAAATCAGTGATTTAGGTCTCTGGCTGTGGAGCCAGAGGTTGGGAGTTTGATTCCCCATTTGTGCCTTCTGGGAGAAGAGCCAGTCTGGGTGCCTTGGGCCAGCTGCGCACCATCCCAGGGCTCCCCTAGAGGAAGGGAATGGGAAAACCACTTCTGAATATTGTCTACCTAGAAAACCCTGGAAAGGGTTGCCATAAGTCAGAATTGATTTGATGGCTTCTTCTACTTCAGAGTTAGATCACTGGCTGTTAGTCCAGGATGGTCTGGCTAGGAGGAGCTTCCCAACATGTGAAATGAAAACAGATCTCTTCCTGTCATCTGCTGTGTGAGTTCGAAGAGGCAGAGACTAATGATTTCTGAAGAATTGGGAAAAGTCATTTTCCCAGACTCTGTTTCTGAATGAGATTCATACAACGTACCACAGTGTGATCTGACTCTTTCCTATCAGTGTGGTATGATATGGACCACCTGGTCCATCTAAGGCAGCGATGCTGAGTTAGCAACCGTCCTGCTTCTTGAGATTTCAGGACCAAAATCTGAGATGAGGGGGGTGAGGGCCTTTGTGATGTCATAGGCAGGGTCCTCTTGATGTCACAAGAGACAAGACAGGCAACGTGGATCTGGAACTATTTCTATCCCCGTTCATCATGCAAATAGGCGCAGGAAGAAGCCAGAAGACTGAGTCCAGAAGCCAGCTAAAACCTACGGAGTCAGTGCCTCCAACACCGACAGACCCAAGAATTTCACATTTTTGTGGGACCATTCCCAAGGGTTTGGCGCAGAGTGCCATACATTCCCCCCCTCTAATTAATCCTGAGAAAGGTTATGTGGAGTTATTATCTAGGCTGAGAAAAACTGCTTTGCCCATTACTCAGTCATTTTGACCTTGGTCAAATTCAAATCCAGCATTCCATTTACTTAAATATAGAGTGAAGTGAATGTCACCGAAAAGAAATACGTAATGCATTTTTTAAAAACAAATAAAATGATTTTTCTCAGCTTTTGTTTAAGGAAAACAAACTAGATTTTCCTAGTCCCTCAAGAGGATAGAGAGGCATTCAAAATGCTTTGGGGAAATGTCTGTTAGAGACCAGGGTGACTCAGGACAGATAATTGTATGTAATAGAATCTGTTGTGTTCCATATGCTGTGTAGGTCCACATGCGTGGGCCTAGTTTCATGTCCTACCTCAGAGGGCTGTTGCGAAGATCAGCACTATCAAGATGGTCAAGCAGCTTGATTGTGTATACAGTGGTACCTCGCTTAACGATTACCTCATTAAACGATGAATCCACTTGACGATGAGGTTTTTGCGATCGCTATAGCGATCGCAAAACAATGTTTTCATGGGAGAAAATCGCTTTACGATGATCGGTTCCCTGCTTCGGGAACCGATTTTTTGCTTAACGATGGTTTAAAAACAGCTGATCAGCAGCTCTCAAAATGGCCGCCCACTGTGCAAAATGGCTCCCCGCTCTTTTTAGGATGGATTTTTCACAAGACAGGCGCCCGAAAATGGCTGCCCTATGGAGGATCTTCACTGGACGATTACGTATTTAGCCCATTGGAACGCATTGAGCGGTTTTTATTTCCCCGCTTGATGACGAGTTCGCTCTACAGCGATTTCGCTGGAACGGATTAACATCGTCAAGTGAGGCACTACTGTATTAACATGCAATGAATATATGTTGATGTCGTTAGGTGCCACCAAATAGCTTCCAACTTATGGTGAAACTATGAATGAGCTCTCTCCAAAATGTCCTCTCCTCAGCAGTCCTGCTCAGCTCCTGCAGACTCAAGCTTGTGGCTTCCTTGAGGGAGTCAGTCCATCTCCTATTGAGTCTTCCTCTTTTCCTGCTGATTTCAGCTTTTCCAAGCATTATTGTCTTTTCCAGAGAATCCTGCCTTCTCAGAATATGCCCAAACTAGGGCAGCCTCAGTTTCAACCTTTTTTTGCCTCCAGAGATAGTCAGGTTTGGGTTGATCTAGGACCCCCTTGGTTGTCTTTGCGCCTCTCCTCCAGCACCACATTTCTCGACCCAATCAATTTTTTTCCTGTCAGCTTTCATTTTATGTCCAGCTTTTCATACTCATATACCCATACTGCTTTTCCACACCCATCATCCACAAATCCATATAGGATTGATCTTGGTCTCCAGTGACATATCCTTACACTCAATGATCTTTTCTAGTTCCTTCTCTGCTGTTCTTCCAAGCCTCAATTTTCTTCGGATTTCTTGGCTTCTGTTTCCCTTTGGAACCATGACTGAACCATTTCTCTTTCAGTTTCTTCATTGTATACAAGAGGAAGACATATTTTATCACAATGACCCCAAGCCTGTTTTGAACGCTGCTGAATACTTAACTACAGTCCTTAAAACTGAACTTTTTCAGATTTTCAGATTTTCTAGGGCCATCACATGCTAGGCCTTTAACAGTCCACCAGATCTGGGCCAAGCATTTGTCAAGATGTGCAGAAGACCACAAAATGAGGCAATCAACAAAATCATTAGAAACATCGTGTTGTCGCATAAAAACCTAACATACCTAGGAATGAGGAACTTATCTTTGATCCATGCTGGGCACGT